TTTTTGGTGCAATACTGATTGAATGCTGGTGAAAATTGGTAGCGATTACAGAACAGGTTCTATTATATAAATACTTAGAATAGTTATTTCTTTGTCTTAACATTGATTTTTCTGCAGTTGTACAGCAAAGCAATGCCTGACGATGTAGATTGCACAGATAAATAATGTCGGTAGTCTCAAACCGTAGCATAGGCGCCCCGAAGATGCACGAATATTTGACCAACAGTCCGATTCAGTACATGATTATCTGTGGATTACAGACATACCGCTCGAAAAGATTGTGACATGCCATCGACGTGTACAGAGCTCAAAAAAGAGAGTAGGTGTGGTTAGTGAATCTAGAACACAGCTTTTCACTAGATGTAATACAGAGGAGTTAGAATTTGTACTCATAATAGTGCATCAAAGTCTCGCTTCTTCCGTCAGATGTCATTCCTTACTTGCAATATGTACATTGGTATTTTGCCTTCTCTGCACTTAGGGGACTAGACCTGTGCATCCCATCTCATCCATAATTCAAATTTGTGCCTCATTTGGATACAAACCCATAGCGCTCCATGTAAAAAGAAGCATAAGACTGATAATGACTTGTGCAAGATAGTTCTAGACACACCAAAAGCCGCAGCGTTGAACAGTTTCCCAGCCACGAAAAGCCTCGTTCGAAAGGTAATGTCAAGCATAGGATGATCTGCTTGCCATATCAAAAGCCTTCCAGGAACGGTTCTCTCAAGAAGAGAGTAAGGCACAACCTTAAATCCTTTGTCAAAAGAAATTGGGCAAAATAAAGCACATCCTCGCTGGTGTCTTGCAGCGGCCCGTAGTCCGTCTCCCCCAAATAAGGGCTGAAAGTCTCGGTCATTGCGATGCTTCATCACAAAAGAAAGAACATCAAGAAAGAAACCTCCATGGTAAAGAAGGAATGCCCAACCAAAGACCGACTTTCTCAATTCTTGGATGGGTATTGCAAAGCTGTATGTACTTGCTTCTATAACAACAAAGTGGCTTTCGACTCTCCGAATCTGCAAGGTATTCCATGGCTACTCAAAGTTAAAATCTCACGGCCAGCTCAAGACAAGCAGTACTTACTTCAATTGTTAGACTGTGAATTAGAGTGATCGCGGCTGATAAAAAATGTATCATGGTCGAAACCATCTCATGCAGCACTCTCAAGGCAAGCGATGCTCGAGTTTCACTGTCGCTCTGGGAGGTCATATCTAAAGTGAGCTGTGAGATCGGGTTGAAAAGACAATTTGATATCTAAGGCTTGTGACTAAATACCCATAAACTTGTGCTATTGGAAAAGTAGTATTGAAAGCGCAGGAGCATCACATTAAAAACACCCTACAAGAGTATCTCACGGCTATGGCTTTGGCTTACTATCACTATCGTCTATATCCACTGCCTAGGTTGTTGATAATCGAGCATCCGGAGTATGCCGATCAGATAATTGGCCCAGTCAGCCTAGTCTCATTCACCCCCAAGAGATGCTCCCTGAGAAAATGATTCATCGATTTGGCGTAAGTTAGATAATCTTCCGGGCATCGCTCGATCAAAAAGACAATGCCTAGTTTTAGTCGGTATTTTCTTGCCTTTTGATAAGGTTGGATTCGAGTGTTTTCATGGGTCTTGCGGAAGTTTGTGTCCAGACCGGCCATTTGAGATGTTCTAGCACATAACCAGCTTTAAAATACAACTAGATGTAATCAAGGTGATAGCCTTAGTACCTTAATTGGTGTTCTAGACCTCAATTACGAGACACTGGGCCTTTTTGAAAAGCAACAGGATTCAGAAGGTAGACAATAGTGTGCTTTCGGGTTTTGACGATATTCGTCTTCACAACGCAGAGGGCAGTGACAAGATTCGACTGGCGATTTGAGAGGAAAACTCAACGATGGTTGATAGTCTATTGGGTAGTGATTATCTACTATTGAAAACTTTATCTTCAGATCATTGGAAATATTTCTAGAAAAAAAATGATTGGATTATGTAACTTCTTGGGTTTTTCGAAGCGCTAATGCACAAGGTGTCAACATTGTTGATGTTTTTTGCATTAGCGTCCATTTATCCAGGAATGAAGTTGTCCTCAAGAACGATTCTCACTAAGCACCATGTGTTCATCTGACACGTAATCCACCCACCCAGAAAAACAACGGGTCGCACGTATCCTATCTCTTACCAAACGAATCCATGCAAACGCCATGATTGTAAATCATACGGTAATATTGGTGAATTTAGCTCGAGGGATTGTTAAAATCTCAAAAGCAACTAGCAAGCAAAACCCGCCCCCATAAGTTTTCTTTCTGCAAATCAGAGACCAGAAGAGACAGGTTGGGGAGCGTCAACTATTTGGAGGGTTTGTGACTTGCCAACCGAGATTCACAAAATCGCTCGAGCTGATGGCCAAGCGACTGCGCAACGCATTTCGTCCTCCAGTGCCTACTCTGACCATACAAACTCATTACTTAGAAGGCCGCACATATGTGAATCTTAGCAGGGCATATGACAGGTTATGATGATTATCAACAGCAATACAGTCTAGTCAATCGGGACCACCCTACATATATAACGAGTGCTCTCCATTCCCTCAGTATTACAATTCCAACCATCCACAATCTTCAGGCTGTGCGAATTTACCATAAGTTTTACCACATAGTAAGTATCCATATGTTGGTGTCTTCTCAAAGTCTAATCGACAAAACAGTCAGCAATGTCGAAAATCTCCAAAGCCGCATTCGAAGGGTTAGCTAAGAAAATACGCGAAAACTCCGATTCCTTAAAGAACCTCACTTTTGCCGATAACCAGACTTCAAAAACTGCCGTGAAGACCAAGGACCTTCGATTTGATGTGCACCGAAATACTAGAGATCCAACAATGGCAACCGGGATAATCCAGGCGAACAGTCAGGCAGAAGATAGGACAGTGCAGAATTTCATCAAGGGGAAAACTGGCGGACACAAGGGTACACACCAGGTCATTGGAGAGAAGATCACTTTTGGTCTTGGGGAGAACTTCAAAGCTGATGATGTCGCATCTGCGGTTGAAAATACTGAGTAGAGTCAAGTCTAAACAAAGCTCTTGTCGGCATTAGTTACTGCCAAACCTCATTCTAATGCCTGCACTAGCTCGATGACTCTATCGGTTAGCATAAACGTGATGATGTTCTTGTTTGCCATCTACAACTGGCGAATGATATCTACAAACTATTCTTCGACCGCGATGATTCTTCAAGTAGTACACTAAATATTCGAACACATATTTTTGGTTTTTCATTCAGTTATTATAGGCGATGAATGCAGATTCAACGACTTATCAGAATAGGTGCCGTCGTGGAAAAGCTCATCTTGGACTCGAGAACGGAAAGACCCTCCGCCTCTTGTCAGTCTCAGCTTGTACATAATGTTGGACTCTTTGATCCTTGCTTCTTTTGACTAATGTTCTGTAGGTCCAATAGACATTATTAATCCATAAAGCAATTAGTTTTCAAACTTATTAAGTTGTGCGCTCGTGTTTCACAGGCAGTGCTAAGACCTCAGGCCAAATCCCGGATCTCCGGGGATAACGTTTTCGGTAAGCGACCCGCTATTGTAACCGGCCCGCCAGCTTTGTCCCGCAGATTAGTCATCGAACTGGCCATTAATCCGTATAAATACTCCTAGTTGACTCCCAGTTTGCTCTTTCACAGCTGTGCCTCTCAGGGAATATTCAATGGCTGTGCCGCGAATCATCAGATCTAAACTCTCTAAATGTGTGAAAAATATGCAGTCAGAACTACAACCTGTTCTTTTTCGGACTCTCACGGATGGCTCAGGTATGTTGTTTTCAGAGACTGTTAGTTTTGACTAATTCGCCAGCAGAAATCCCTATTGAAGAATGTGATCTGTTCGGGTACCAGCGATATCGGTGGCTGTAGGTTGTCTACTCCATATCATTCCATCTGACTAAAAGTTCTAGAAACGGAGAATCAAAAGAACTTGCAAGACGTTACCTGAAATTTGACTTGCGTCAACTTGTTCATACAAGTATCCAAGCCATAGGAGGAGATGGACTACAATGTATTCATCATCAACTTGTCTATAAGTCCTTGATCTGACAGTGATTGCCAGGCACGAAAGTTTCCAAATGTGTTGAAGGGCAGTTCAATAAGGCATTCGTATTGACTATGAGCAATGGCGATGAAGTTGTTGCCAGACTGCCCAACCCGAACGCAGGCCCTGCATTCTATACAATTGCCTCCGAGGTGGCAACTCGTCAGTTTGTACGTCTTGATATCACTTGCTGTTAAATAAACTAATAAAGCCAGATTCGCGAAATCATGGGATTGCCTGTCCCTAAAATCTACACCTGGTCGTCAGACTCATCAAATCCGGTAGGATCAGAGTATATTCTCGAAGAAAAGGCTAGAGGACAAGCACTGGGCAAACTATGGGCCCAGATGTCAATGCCATCACGATGCGAGATTATAGACCAGGTTATTAATATAGAGAAGAAACTTACATCGGTGTCATTTTCAAAGCATGGCTGCATATACCATACGTCTGTCCTGAGCTCGAAGATTCCTGTTTATGACAGCTTAGATTCAATGCTGGACAGTGCGTCATTACCGGAAGTGCGCCAGACTTCGAAACTTTCCAGGTTCACGATAGGTCCTTCAAACGACCGCAGAATGTGGCAATCTGAAAGAAAATTCCTGAAACTCGATTGGGGTCCATGTAAGCTCAACCAGATTCCCTCCGTTTTATGGGCTCACCAGCTTAATCATTTTAAGGGTCAAACCCTGCCGACTATGCGATGGCTCTTGGGAAAAATGAACTTTCTTGGGCGCAGTCTCAAGCAAGACCAAGAATCAATCCATATCGCTCGATTGACAAGCCAGAAAGTCCAGAAGAATACCGATCTCTTCTCGAGCGCTATCTAAGAATTTCACCCTACCTCATACCAGGACCAGAGACCGGTGAACCGCTCAATACTTTATCACATCCCGATCTGCATCTTGATAACATATTTATTGATCCGGATACAAACCAAATTACTTCAATAATTGACTGGCAGCTGGCAGCTGTAGCACCTATCTGTCTGCAGCGCCCCCATCCACAGATGCTAGAGCTTTCACCTAGTCCTCGTACCAGTCAACAAAATTTGCTTGAGAAGGAACTTCTCAAATACTATTATGAGGGCACTAAAAATGCCAACAATATACGGCCAAGAGTCTCCAGGAATCCATACCTTACAACAAGACTCGACCCGTTAAACTTGATCTCAGGATGTTGGGAGCGACAGGACACATTTTCGTTGCGCGAGGCTCTGATTAAAATAGTTGCACTCTGGACGCGATTAGGCTATAGCAGCCCGTGCCCAGTTGAATTTACAGAGGAGGAACTAATAGAACATCAAAACGAAAGAAATCTTGTTCAGGGGTTATCCACCATCGTGCAACAGTTGGCAGACGAAGGACTCATTCCGATTGGGGGCATGGTCCAACCGGAAGAGTACGAACAGGCTAGAATGGTGAGTGACTGGGCTAAACGGGAATTTATCAGCTTGGCTGAGGATGACCATCAAGAGAAATTGCACATGATGGTATGGCCGTACTAGAAATAAGAAAATGTACCGAGTTTGAATTCTCTTAGCTCTTTTTTTTTTTGCAAAACGCATTGCGATAACTTGCTGACGAATGTACCTTTCTCTTTCGCTTGCATGCGGCTTTCTACAATCCCAAGAGCAAAGCTTTTTATAATTAATGCTACCATCACTTCTAGATTTATTGTCCCATGGTATGTAGTCGCCATAAATATGAGCACGACGACCGGGTGCCAGAAGATTCGGAACATTGCTGACATCATTTGTCTTGAAAGAATGCTTCCCCAAACATATTTAATTGCAGATGCTCTCGGAATGTGCGTAGATTCGTTTACATGAAACGGCGGCTGAAATCTGACATGAAGCTCGACCTCATTCATAATTATTGCTAGCGTTCGGACCACGCTTTGAAGATTGCAGCTCGTTGTCCCGGCCTGCTATTGGTTGTCACTAACATCTTCGTGATTAATCAGCTTCCTTGTTTCTTCCCGTGACTGCTAGGTTACCCCGCTTTTTGCTCCTTTCTTCAACGTTGATGTGCTATCTAAGAATCATTGGAATCGCCCATTTGTTTCTATTGCTAAGCCATCATACAGTTGAAAGCTCTGATGGCCGACGACTCGTATATTCATCAACAATAAGATATTTCGTCTGGCTTCATGAACTCGTTGGCTTATCCTGAACGCAGTTTCTCAGCGCACCTACCCACGTATACTGCGGCAGGCATGCTTATTGGTGACTTGAGCCGGCCCCCTCCTCTTTGTTAAGACTGACCTGACAACCGCTTTTGAGAATATCAAATAGCAGACATGGAACCTACTAGTGCAGTCTGTTCCTTTCAGGCCACCCAAGTATCGAGTAATGCATCTGGCAAAATTGATATTCTTCGACGGGTAAGGGTTGACAAGCACAATCACTATACAAGTCTAACAAGCATAGGCCACTCAATTTATCATCTGTAACAAGCAGTTTCTCTCCGATGATTTGAGGCTTTCTTTGTTCAACGCCTTCGGTCAAAATGACAATAAGTCTTCTGGAATAGAGCGATCTCGTACAAGAGCAAGAGATGCTCGGGAGCGCATCGGCAGGGCCACTGAAAAGGACATTCTACCAACACCAGAAACCCTCTCACTCATCGCGGAAATCAGAGCAGCTCCATCCAAATTCTGGACAGCCAAAATGAGAGTGAGCCTGGAATGGGACGCGAATATCTTGCGCCAACTATATCACGGAAGCAGAGAGAATGACCGACTTTCTGTAACCTACCGGGCGTTTTATACATCTGCGACATACCTCTTTGTTCGGCTGATCTGCGAAAGATTCAATGTGCGAATCTTCTCAGAACGCGTCTTGCGCTACTGCACGACCTTGATTGATCCTAACGGGAAAGAGGATGTCGAATCCGTCAAAAAGAACCTCAAGGATGACTACAAGGCTGGTCTCATATGGAATACCTATGCAGAACACTTGGGCGGGTATGGCACATTCTTCTTAATTGGAGTAGCTCCAGCATGGATGTAAGTATTCGGATACAATCAATCATTCTAGCTTTACTGAGTGCGGAAGGTTCGAGATATCTCTCAACAAACGTGATGATCTTGATTTTGTCGTTTCTCATCTAACTTCGATCAATGTCCCACATACTGCCGCACAATACGACCTGCACGGCATTGGTTCTCAAATCATATATGAGATAACACAACGAGCTGGGTCAATCCTATCATCGCGTCTAACCCGAAGGAACAGGAAATCTAAATCAAATAAGTTACCTGGGTCTAGTCGGTCAGGGGCCACCAACTCTATGGTGATTTCAGACCAAATACAAGGCCGGTTATCATCTTCTGACATCATAACTATACCAGACAACAACTCCCCGGGTAACAATCCAGGTAATTAGAGTCTACCTCATGTTCACGTGCTTTCTGGAATCATTCTTTGCTAAATATGTTTGTAGGGCCCGAACATCAAAGTATTTTGAATCAATTACAATTCAGAGCCGATCATGATTCTGCGAGTAGCTATAACATGTCTTTGTCAATACAGAACACCTCAGGACTAGACAAAGATGTTGTCTCAATCCATAGTTTGGAAGACGAGCGTTCTACACTGCCTGCTTCAGGTATACATCAGGGTACGTTTCCCTTATCTAATTAGTGCTTTTTGCGCTTAAAACCTAAATATTTCATCCTAGAGAAAGTCTCCATTTTTGGACCCTCGCCGCATGGTCAAACATCCTACTCTCCATCCTTCGATAATGCGGTCCGAGGATTTGAGGATGTGCTTTATCACGCTGCAGGCGAGGAAGTGATCTCCCAGAATATCGCTGAAGGTTTTGAGGATGTGAATGGTCACACATTCGGGATTTTAAGCTCCGGCAATTTTTCTCAACGCCTCCCAGATGACATTTGCATCCAAAGAGAGAGCATGTCTAATCTTTATGATATCGCTCAAGGCTTTGAAACCGCACACTATCAGACCCAATTGACTTACGGTAATGTGATTCAAGGGTTCGAGAATGGGATTCACCATTCGATCTGAATTTGAATATTAGTGGTACCTCGATCTGTCTTCGTATATCAAAGATATAGCTACCTTTCGATCTGTTGAATAATGAATAAACCAGAATCAGAGAAACTTGTAGTTGGGGTATGATAATATGTAAAGCTTCAAGGCCGGCATGATAGAGCGCAAATCAATTAATTATCAGTAACACTTCATGTAAGATCAGATATTACCAGTACCGTTAGTTTGGCACCTTCCGACACTTCGACGCTACATTCCCTGAAAATATGATAATGGTGGCTTGTATCCAAGGCCAACCCTTCCATATATACCTCCCCACACACTTCAAGAGGAATCATTATTGTGAAGGTTTGACCAACAATTGCCTTCCCAGGAAACACGACGAGACCCCCTCTTTTATAGCTCAATATTTCCCGCGTTTCGCATTCCTTTGTCGTTTGTGATAGCCCCTACCAAAGCTGTCAGAATCAAGGCTCTGCTAAGTTTTTTCCAGGATTCTGACCTTTGCTGAATACTCCGAAATTGCATAGTTGATTGGATCGTCGCAGGCATCTGTTGCGAAGAATCGTGCAATCGTACTGCGTTTCGGTCTCGGTAAGGATTCAGCAACCGGCTTGACCTCTTTCCATGCTTCCGTAGCGTAAAATTTGACCTTTTCCGATTGCAAAGGGATAAATGAGGCCGAAGGCCTGTCGGATGAAGACATGAATGAGGTCAAGCGTCAAAACAAGTTGATGGCGCACGAGGTTTATTGACCGTATGTAACCTTTTGCAAGTAGAAATAACGGTGTTTTGATAATAGGTCTTCTGGATGAGAAGAGAGCGACGGGCAGGACCCCTTTCTTGTTGTCTTTCGTTGTTGAACATTTGGGCGTTGTTGAGGGGCATTTAAATGTGAGGGGACGAAGCAGGTCGCTTTTGAGGTGGGGTATGTCTCGTGACTCTTCATAACAACTATTGGCTGAATTGGAAGGGCGGTGAAAAGAGCCTATGGGGATGATAAACCCCTGCCATACTTCACGTGACTCACCCTTCTCAATATTCGTTCCGTTTCGCCCTCGTTTCCACCTCTCCCCCTGATCGCTGTGAGTTCGAAAGTTGCAAAGAAGCCTTTTCCCACTCAAGTCAGCGCGTACGTCAGATCACATAATCTCGTGCTTAGCGACCCAATATTTGTTTGATTACAATGGCGTTGACGAATTTGGAGTCTGGAGTAGTCATCCTCTCGGGCCTGCCACCGAGGATTTCGCACTGGGAAGCTGTCTTTTTGCTGTATTTAGGACGGTTGCGATATCAGGTATACTTGATTTGTTTGTTCTTACCCATGAAATTGAACTTGATGACATATTACCAGTATTCGTCGCAAAAATACTTTAGTTCAGCACCGACTTCGTGTTCCTTCAGTCTCCAAGCCTCCCGAATTACCGCGCAGACTACATTTATAAGGTGAACATATTCACACTGTGGCCTCAACAGTATCATTCTGCCCAATCATACTCTATGGAGATTTCTCAAATTTCATTGCCATCGTTGCTGGATTGAGAAATGGTGAAGAATCGGCACGCCATAATGAGAACCACAAGTTGTGGAAGGACACTGTTGTCGAAGCTTTCCCTGTCGATTTCGGGGCTCGATGGCTGTGCACGTCCGACTGCTCGCACTATCGATCGAAAGGAGTCGCTGATTGGCGCGGTTACAAGAAGAACAACTCGATTACCTATGTAAGGAAGATATTTAGTACGCTCGAAACGAAATAGAGATACGTCTCAAGTCTGACAGGCAACCTACCTTGGTCTTGAAATACGCGTGGGTTCTGTGTCATCACTCTCAGAAGACGATGTTACTTCGTCATCCGAGAACTTATCACTGGTCTCAAAAGCATTCATAGAGGGCGGAGTGTCTTCAGGGGCCATGTTCCAGGATCCAAGGTGTGTTGGGACCATTTGAGGAGACCTGATGACGGAGCAGCGGAAGGACGGGTTGGATGGCAGCGTGGTTTGCCAAGCTGACAGTGTTCAGCAGCCATGGCAGTCCGTAAATAGTATATGAATGGGTCGCACATTTTGAAAGTCAGGTCGGCCCATATCCAGCGTGGACTGCAAACGCATCAAAGCCACTTCATTTGGTGAGGCTACGTTTTGAGATGGAGCTTAGTCGAAATGCCGACCGCCTTTCGATCACGTCATTGTTCCTCCGCAGAAATCTGTGATATGCTTAGCAGCGGGTAGAAAGTACCCCTGATTGCAAAGACTGCTTTTTGTAGTTAGTCTCCGGGCAGTTTATTAATTTCGAGGCGGCCGGTGCAGTGCGACTAAAATACCGCCCTTCGTAACCCCGCTTTTGCCAAGCCGGCTAAGAACACTTTTCGGACATGCCCAAAACGAATTAGTTCTCTGAGAGCCTTCAGCCGAATACGTCACATCACTCTCAGCAACTACTCTGCAACTCAGGTACGGGGGTTGACTAGCCAGAGTCACGTGGTTTCGTTCAGATTTCTCCGATATAACTGACCCACTTTAGGTTTCCATTACATGCCAAACTGTGGCCGTGCAAGCTCAATCCACTCTCGAACCGGGGAAGATGTGCTGAGGCACATAACCTGGACGTATTCCTCTAAGTCTACCAAAGTTACCACATTCCCCACCCCTAGGCTGTCCGAGAGCAAACACCACACTTGGATCGCTTGAGTTTGATGATATCCTTTAGCAAGCCTTCGAAAATGAATATTAAATTTATTTTACAATGAATGCTATGAATGCAATACATAGCTTTCTCTTTATCACCCCGAGTAAGAACAAAGCGATGATATCGAGATTCCCCTGTACGAAGTAAGCTTCTCAGACCAAGACTAAGCAGCGACCTTGATCTTGCTTTCTGTAAAGGGTTGCATTACTGTTGAAACATGGGATTGCAGGACATGCGATAGCTGGCTGACTTGTCGGGCATTATTCCCGAAAGCATTTGGCTTTCCACGGCCGGCGGTGGGGGTTGTGTCATGCCGCATAACTAAGTTAGCTCCACGGTATAAGATCATACCAAATTAGACCAGCGTCAGATTATCAACACAAACGTTTCTGCTTATATCACGTGAACGACGGCTTCATTGATAGCCTTTCCATCCTATTAGGAGTTATTATTCCAACTCCGTTGATAGAACTTTCTAATTAGAACTTTCACTGAGGACAAATACTAAAATAGGTCTCCTCACAAGTAATTCCAATCATGGTCTCCTATGTGCAATAGAATCGGACAAAGGATAATCAAGGCCAACATGACGTAACGAAACATAGTTTTCAAATCCGAAAAAAAAAGAATATCGTCCTGCATCGTACTTAAGTCACTGTCCAGACAAAGAGAGTGTACCACGCGCTTGATGGCAATGTAAGACTAGTTGATGCCTAACTCCTTGCAGCCCCAATACACCGCACTTTTCATCGACCCTTGGACCGAGCGTGAATCAAAATGGGCATATTTCTCGAAACGCTACTTGGATAATGAAATCGATTTTGAAGGCATTATTAGCATGTGATATTGTGAGGTTGATGTGCGATTTCCACATTTATCTCGTAAATCAGGAACATGACACTCAAATAATGGCAGAATCCCATACGCTGAACTCACTTGAGGTCGCTGCATTTGACGCATAAGATTTTGCGTGATATATCACGTGATTATACCCCGCCTCACCAAGACTGCAGTCAACTCGACAAAATCTTCATTCAACAAAAATCTGTTATTGCTCATTGTCGGCCGTCGCAGTTTCACTGAATACTCGGTTCTCAAAAGCATGCGATATCTGTATCAAATATCCCAGTCGCATGAAAATATGTCACATGAAAATCAGTCTTCGACTTACTCAAGCTCCTCTATACCACCTAATGTGGCGAGTACTATTCATCCACATTTAAATGAAAGGCTCAATAGCTTTGACAACATTAGCGCTGAGGAAGATGTGCTTCAATTCATTGGATCGTCCAATGGACACTGTACCGCCGCGAGATCAATCAGCGCTAAGGCTCGTGCCACTCAGTGTTTCGGCGATATGAGCGACCATACTTTTCAGCAAGTTTCCCATGACCGAACTCATGTGTCTCGGAAGGATATCAAACCACTATCAGATTCAACAGTTACCGAGAAAGTCGGAGGGGGTCAAAGACTTGGCAGGATACCTTGATCAAATTGAAGAATGAACGTAAGGATTCTGTGAGGAAACGTTAATTAAATATCGGTATTCTAACAATTCATTTAAGCTTAGAATTTTGAGTGAAATACAATGCACTTTTCAAAAGTGAGTGATCGACAGTTTTATATTGCAAATATATTCTAACAACAAATACAGGGAAACTTTCAAATATCAATCATCTCCTTCACTACTCTATAAAATTCTCAAGTACCTCTCGATTGGCTTCCTTGTCAACTTTCTGTCCTTTCACTTAATTCCTCATTTCATTTACAAAGAATTTCATGTGTTGGCTTCGCTTTCCAAATAAACCATCAATACAGTCTGTATATAGGAAAATTAGTTATTATCGTTCTCCTCAAATTTGAACGACAATCTGGAATTATCACCTGGTGCTGAAGCCAAGCCGCCGGGTAGAGTTTCGAAGCTACTTTTATACCTATTATCTCAAATATCGAATCGTATCCTCGGACATGGATACCATTAACTGCGCAGAAACACCCTTAGACATTGCTCTGAGAATTTATTATTGACTTGGAGTTACTGATAGTGCCAATTTAATCATTAATATTACCTCGCATAAACTCTAATTTTGTCCCGTCTCGAAAGCCGGCTTTTAGTCTTATGTTGAAAATGATTGATGATTGTTTATTCTTCAAAGTAGAATTAGCTGTATCTTTATATAGGTTTTCTTAGCAGTTCAATAATCGGAGTTTAGTATCAGTAATTATACTAGTGATTAAAGAATTCTTTTTATTATTATCAGGCTTATTATGAAGCCGATCTAATATTATACTTTATTTGCTGAGTATTATGCAGGATATAAAATTTACTAAAGCCCTATTGGATATAAAGAATATGGAAGTTTTCTTGAATCTATAAGATAATACCGGGAAAATACCTCTCTATTATACTTTAAGAATAAAGAACAAATTGTTCTGCGGCATTATATGAAATAAGAGACCTTGAGACGTATGTAAAGCGTTTCATAGAGGAGTTAAGTGCTAATGTATCATTAATACCAATTTTGAACCTTCCAGGTGCAATGTACTCCACACTTCCAAGACATGACTAGAAGTCATCTGGTCGCCACTGCAGCATCCGCTTTGTTAAATTAAGAAAATCGTGTTTTACACAGTCCACTCTCCGAAGTTGGAAAGGATGCTGTCCAGTCTCCGTCCTCGGGAATTAACACAGGATACTTAAGTTTACTGAATCAAGAAAGAATAAATCGAGTATATCTTCAGCATTCAAAAGGCAGAACGCCCTAAAGGCCACTCATCTTCTTGTTTCGGGAATCCCCTCTTAGCCGCGCCGTGGGAAATGACAACGGCCTCGGCCATACCTGAGTGGCAGAGTAGTTGCTGCGAGTGATGTGACGTATTCGGCTGTAGGCTCAGAGAATTGATTCGTTTTGGGCATGTCCGAAAAGTGTTCTTAGCCGCGCTTGGCAAAAGCGGGGTTACGGCGCTTGTCTCCCAGGGGCAGACTTGTGGTCCTCTCTCTCCAATCCACCCAACAGACTTGTGGTCCTCTCCCTCCAATCCACCCAACAGACTTACCTTCGCATTTCAGCCAAATTACACAGAATGGGTCTTGCTGAAAGTCGAATGATTGTGGTGAAACTTGAGTCTGCTTGCATTGAAGCAGAATGTCGAGGCCATCGTGAAATCAAGAATCTACTTTCGGACAATGAAGTAAGCCGATCTCTTGTGTATGATGAATGAGAAAAGACTGACATCACAAGTTTATAAAAAACTTGTCCAATATTTGGAGAGATATACCCGCTGTTTCAAAGAGACAGATCCAGGAGAGAAGAAAAAACCGAAAAAAGAAAGCCCCACAAGACCGCAAACTTATCGACCTGGAAGCGTTATCATTACAAATCCCACAATGGAGAACCAACATGCGAAGTTTTTTCAGTACTGAAAAGACCCTCGACCTTGAATTAAACTATCCGATTGCCGAAACTTATACCTTCCTTCTGCAGCTAGAAGCGCGTGGAGAAAGAGATACCTGGCGTCTAAGACTTCTCAAGGTCGTTTTCCATTATCTTCTCAAGAAGGTTTGCCACCAGTATAGGCAGTCAGCCCAAATTGAAAGAGCTATACATCTCATTACAAAAGCTGAGATTGTTGGGGATGATGCTGAATTGATCAGTGCACGTCTTATGGCCTGGAGTGATATTGGACGGAGGCTAGATCTGCTTTGCCGAGAACTTGCCGATACAGGAGATAATCTTACTCATGGTCTAACATTTCTCGGCCTTCTTTTTCGCTTGCCCAACTATGTGACCGACAGCTAGTAAGTTTCATTCCATCTCATAACGTCTACTTTGACTAATAAGATATATAGCTTGAGAAAGCTCCCCTTGAAAGGCTTGAAACGTGACCAAGAAATCAAAAATCTTAGGGATTGCGGCGTTGTCATGAGCAATCAGTTCGCTCTAGTTGATGAGTTCGCTCGTGACGCTTTTGAATTCTTATGGGGACCAATTGAAGTATCTCTAACAGAAGAGGACTTTCTGCAACATGATGGATTATTCAATCGCCAGCCGACGCAGATAAATGTTGGCCAGATAGATGGTAGCCCGGCTCTGCAAAGCTTTTCGGTCACATCTGAACGCCAGGATGAAACGAACTCATCAGGTCATAGAGACGGAGACGCACCGTGGGCGAATCAACAAGCCGCTGCATCAGCCGACTCAGATCATCGCGTCAGTCAACATCTAGCAATTCAATGCTCAACAGAACCAGAAAAGCTAAGCGAGAGACCAAACATTGGTAGAATGCCGCTACCCGAAGTTTACTTTGACCCACAGGCTTATAACAGTCAACCTTTGAACCTGGATGGCTCTCACAACCAGTTTGTTGACGGCCAGCTTCCTGATTCTCAAATGTTCCAGCCCATTTCAGTTAAACGGTCCAGTGTGATTCAAACGGATACATGTCCAGATCTAATTAACCCAGTTCCTTATATTTTTCAACGGCCCAATCTGGAGGGAAACCATTACAATATCAATATACCCTTTTCTGATCAAGATGCAGCCCGATTTCCTTCGGAAGTTTTCGACCCAATGCCCTATATTATACCACCATCCGGCCTCGAGGAATCCCCGCATCTTGTAGGCCGACAATGCTATACTCAGCAGGAGCCACGCTTGAACCCGATCGCTTTCAGCTCACAACCTCAAATTTTGGATACAAGTATGAACCAAACGAACAGCACTATCAGCCGACTTGACAACCAATGCATGGATCTGCAACAAGAGCCTCAGTCTAATCAGATACATATGAATGAGGTTCCGTTCGCTCAGCCTGGATGCAATAGAGAAATCAATGGTGGGGTGCATACAAATTGGTACCATATACAAAATCGTGAAGTAGCATCATGTTAGCCAATTAGCTGAATTTTGATGCGCTGCTCACTATGGACTCTTGGAGCATGAGGCCAAGCGAAATAGAAATATGCTTCAATGTTACAAAAGTGAACCGAGCAGATTTTCGGAGTCTCAGGAGGATCGTTTCATGAATATAATGACGGTCGATCCCGGACTAAGCGTGAGCTCCTCCTCAGTAATATGTGTAAGAAAGCCTTCAGGCAATGGTCCGCCCGGGGATATAGTAGAATTCCCCGACAAGGGAACAAGTTGCATGTTATGGTGTTCATTCAAAATTCGTTTCGACACAGGGAAATGCCAGAGTGTCCAGCCCCAGTCCTGTCAAGCACCAGGTCAAAAAGTGAAAGCACGATGCAGGCGTGAAAACAAACCGGTCGAATCTCCAAGCTTTGCATCAAGAAACTTATTTTTTGCCCAAGGGAAGCACCCATATATAGTACCCTGCCATCTCGACTCTCCAGTCGATCGACTTCAGCCAAAGTGTCTCCCCCGTCTGCGCTGGCGATCATCCGCTTGATTTCTAGTCGAACTGTTTCGGCTTCGTCTGGTAGGGACCGAATCATGTCGGTACTTAGGATGATTGTTAGATATGGTTACATTTCACAATCTTGGGAGGGAGAGAAGCACGCATACATGAAGGCCTGTATCAAGAGTGATTTGTCGGTGCGGTGATGCAATCTATTGTCGTCTTCCATTGAGGAGGGGTGAAAAGGTAACGAGGGGAAGCATTTCGGAATTGTTGGGCAGAAAGTCACGTGATAGTCCTTTGGCGGTGGCACGGTCGCGCCAAGTTTGCTAGGAAATCCCTCCGCTCTTCGTCAACCTACCACCCGAGGTCATTGAACAACAAATTCTTAGCAAGTAACTGTTTCTGCACGATATCAATAATATGCTCTACTTAGGCATACACTCTAGATATATCTTGGCTCTTCCACTATACAAAGCCGTTATCTTGGTCAATACTAAAACCAAGAAGAACGCGCCTCTTGCTTTCTGTACAAAATTACGACAATGCCCACATTATGAAGCCATTGAAGCTCGACGTAGGAAAACAGCGCCATGTGCCTTGATTATGTGACGATACACGACTTAAGACAAGTCAATCAACCCCGGACAGCTGAGAAGAAGAAACAAGCCCTGATTCTCCCTCATTAAAAACCATATCTAGGTTTTCGAGGTAGAGTTGCTAGATCATGGAACGATGCGTGTGACAAGAATTATCATTTTGAAAAGTTTATCTCCCATCCTTATTCATAATGAGGCTGTTGATAACTAAAGACTATCTATAATCGGAAGCTCCTTGGATGGAGAGGTAAAACAGCTCATGGTTCCATATGAACGATTGCGATCTTCATGCCGTAGTCTGTCATGGATCCTTATTAGGTTAACTCTGGGGCACAGTCAGACGTATTTGTGACTCCTCAGCCAGCTAACCAAGGATCCTGCAAGAGCTCCTTCGCTGTTGCTCTATCCTCGGGCATCCAGGTAAGAGCCTTTCGTATAAAACGTAAGAAGCCTGACTTATCCTCGAGTCGAGATTCTAGTGCTTCAAATGTCCGCCTATTCGGAATGGGCGCAAGATTTAGCCATTTGCCTATTATGAATCCAGTCAGTAAACACAAATAATGATTATGGCTCGGCTGCATCGTCCTATTAGTGTTCAGTTTAAATATGCTTAACATACCATCACGATCCCAAAAGTCGCCTTTTCTGTCAGGATTTCTGCGCAGAAAATTAGGAGGTGGCGGTCCTAACGCGGCAATGAGCTGGGCGAGATGTGCCGCATCATAGAGGTCACCATCTTCATCACGAGCCGTGAAAAGTTTTCTCGGTTCAAGAAGGTCCCAGGCCTAAGTCGAGTCAATAAGAGTACACTGTTCAAGAAACGAGAGGCGATTGATAGAGACCAACCGTCAAACCAACGCTCCAAATATCAACTGGATAACTCCAACCTATGCAGAGCAACGTCTCAGGAGCCCGATACTCCAGAGGCATAATATCACCACCATGAGGTCCTTGACCGATACGAGCCTCGCCAAAGTCGGATAGCAGCATTGGACCTTCTGTAGGACGCATCAAGCGTGATAAATATACGGTTCGAGTGGGTGAGACTTGCTTGCGGGGAACCGGAGAACTGAATTCTTTATCTTCTAAGGTTTTCAGTAGCTGGCTATTATACGTACCCAGGAGCATATTTCCAGGGTGAACATCTATCAAGTTAGTAAAGGGATATACATGAAAACTGTACAAGGAAGATATACCGGTGTGGACAATATTTGCTTGAGTATGAAGGAAGTCCAAAGCCTGTAACAGCTCAGTGACTGCCCCTTTGACGAATTCCTCGTCAAATCCATCTTGCCGAAATACTAGCTTCATGTCACGCAGACTCATTTGTGCCGCTTCGAAAACAAGAACTGTATGTGTTCCACTTGGCCCGAAAAGTTTGAACGAATGCAACAATCTCCGGATATTGTGTCGTCCTTGGTGCGGGCTGGTTCGTAACTGGTGATCCATATGTTCGTAAACTGGAACTTCACGGTGATATAATGAGGTATGCACATAGACCTTTAAGGCGACATATTGATTGTTCCTACATTCTTTAGTTAGATACAAAAATGTCTATGTTTCGAAAACATACGCGAGATCCCGGGACAGCCATGTAGTGGAGGAAGAACCGTAGCCCAGTTTTGCGACTACTTGGTAGCGGCTCTCGAAAATATCGCCAATTCGAACGGGGTAAAATCGGTGTGCTTGATAGTCAGGCAGCTCTTCCTCCTCAACTGGATGATCGGCTTGAATGGATTCAAATCCACTTGTCGGAAAGACCCGTGCATCTTGTAGATAATCTGTTCTTGGTGCTGAGGTGGTGGTGCCCGTCGAGAAGGACTTCAACGAGGTTATGATTGCTGTCCAGAGCGGCATTCTCAATCTGGAGCGTAATGTAAACAAACTCTGCTGATTTCCCGAGCATGAGCAGATTTTGGAGAGGTATAAGCCCAAATTTGAAGTTTTCTTGATCGAAATCATCATCCTTAGCAGCCATATATGGTGGTTGAACATGGATAATTGGCGAACGCGACGTGGCACCCTAAATAGCCCGCGTCATTCCCCACCCGTGACTTGCCAAGTCTCGTCGGCTGAGTTCAGAAGCTGTGACCACTCTTTTGCGCTAAGCGTCTCCGGATTAGCTCTAAACTTTAAAAGGAGCAACTTCCGGGTATCAGGCAATGCCGATGAGCCAATTGTTCTCGGCCTTTTTCTTCAATACTCATACTGAATAACAAGTTCAGGTTGACCAATATACTGTGTTGCTAGCCTGAAGGTTGACTCTCCTTCGATTTTGTAGACTCAATACATACTGATTATATCATGACAGGACAAATTTTGTATCTCTTCAGATGCGTGATACAGTTCATGAAATTCTGGGTTCAGACAATAGGCACTTTATTTGATGGTTTACAAAATAGGAGCCTATCCCATTTAGGCATTAGAGCCTGACCAAGCTTCAAAACACAGTATCTCCCGGTGTCTTTCCTCCGCCGCCATCGTGGAAATCCTTTACTTCGATCCCTGCCCTTTTCCCTTGCCCTTGCCCGCACGACTCTCAGCAAGTTTGTAGGTTCCATTCTCATGAACATGGCCACTGAGTAGCCGTGTGCCATTTTGACTATAAAAGCCAATTGTGATGACATCTTCAGGATCTGCTGGGTCTTTCGAAGATTTGTGAGCTTTAGCACCTCTGGAAAGTCCGTATTAGCTCTGCATAGTGAGTAGAATGACGAGAAGACGTACTGTATCTCGTATCCGGTTACTGAGTCGTACTGAATGAGAACGGTCAACTCGATTCTGAGCAGGGTAGCGGAAAAAAGTTTGGTACCTGAGACTCCACATCGTCTTTCAGTTTCTGTAAAGAGGAAACCCATTGACTTCCGGAAGACCCGTTGGTCTTGCGGACATCTTCCTCAGTCACTCTGCCTAGGAGATTGAGAATACTCCGCTTGGTAGTGGACGAGATACTGCGAACTGTGTTTAAAGACATTGCTGTGGGTAGTTTTCAGATTGCAGGCCGCACAAGATGTTCAGTGCTTCTAGGTCCAAAAAAACCAAATTCGAGGTCGCATTGGCCTTTAAGTATACAACTCTTCTCTGGCTGTTGAATGAGAGGCTGTGTATACTTTAAAAAAGACCTGTGTTAGTGTGGTGTGCCACCTGGCAAACGACAAGCTACAGTTGGTGAAACACAAAATAACAATCGAATATCTCTTTTGATACTTAACAGTCGTAAATTAGATTAGATGTATCTCGAGATGAGTTAGCTGCCCGAACAGAGTCACATGTACCTATGAAAAGACTGACTTAATATCAGAAATCAATGTTATAAAGGCTTTCTAAGTGCCTGGGGGATATTGGCGCTATTCCGAAAATAGTCGAAAGTTGTTCGCGCGAACAACTTTCGACTATTTTCGGAATAGCGTTTCTACACAACGGGATACTCAAACCCATAACTTGAGCAGAACTTGCAGACGCCTGGACCCCTTGGTAGATTGAGAGGTCTACTTCGACCCATTGTTTGATTTTGAGAGGGTGCAGCCTTCGACGATGCTTTCATGATTCTACACCACCATACTCCATAATCGGTCTGCTCTTCCGCTGTCAGAAACTCATCCATCGCGAGCAATACACACGTGTCTCTGCATATTTCTATCCATCGATGGTGCTTCATCATAGTAAATTCAATGAGTTTCGAAAAAGCCTAGTAAGGTTTGTTCTTGAAGACATCTTCATTCATCAGGATAGATAGATGCTAATGCAACAAAACATCAACAGTGTCAACATCTTGTGCACTGGCGCTTCCAAATTCAAGAAGATGCATTGCCCAACCAATCTCTGTCAAATATTCCCGATGGTTTAAAGAGAGACTTTTCAATGATAGATAGTCACACCCCAATAGACAATCGACTAGTTTCGAGTTTTTCCCCTCAAACCGCCAGTCGAATTTGTTCGACGCTGCCCTCTGCGCTGTATACCACTGGCGTCAAAGCCAGAAAAGCTCTCATTGCCTACCTTTAGAGTCCTAACGCTCTTGATAATGACCCGGTGTCTAATAATAAAGGTCTAGGTCACGACCTAAGGTAATTGATTTATCACCTTAATTACATCAAGTTGTATTAAAAAGCTGGTTGTGAGCTAGAACATCTGGAATCACCTCGCCTGGACAAGATACCGCACTACCCATGAAACCGCCTGAATCCAAGCTTATCAAAAATGCAAGACAAATATTTTAGATATCTTTGTCCGATCAAGTGGTGCCTGAAATATTATCCAAGTTACGCCAAATTGATAAATCATTTTCGCAGGGAGCAATTCTTGGGGGTGACTGAGACTAGAATTACCGGGCCAATTATCTGATTGGTATATCCTTAGTACTGGATTACCACGAACTAAGGCAGTAGTTACAGACGATAATGATCGTAAGCCGGAAAACCAGCAGTAGGATAATCTTGTACGGGATGTTAAATGTGAGACTTCTGCACTTTCAATATTCATTTTCCAATGGCACAAATTTGTGGGTATTTAGTTAGTCACAAGCCTCAGATATCATCCTGCCCTTTCAACCCGATTCCACAGCTCATTGAAGATATGACCTCCCAGAGCGACAATGAAACTCGAGCATCGCTTCCCTTAAGAGTGCTGCATGAGATATTTTCAGCCATGATACATTTGTTATCAGCCGGGATCACCCTGATCCATACTCTAACGATTGAAGTAAGTACTGCTTGTCTTGAGATGGCCGCAAGATTTTGACTTTGAGTAGCCATGGAATGCCTTGCAGATTCGGAGAGTCGAAAGCCCATTTGTTGTCATAGAAGCAAGTACATACAGCTTTGCAATACCTATCCAAGCATTGAGAAAGTCGGTCTTTGGTTGGGCATTCCTTCTTTACCATGGAGGTTTCTTTCTTGATGTTCTTTCTTTTGTGATACAGCACCGCAATGACCAGGACTTTCAGCCCTTGTTTGGGGGAGACGGACTACGAGCCGCTGCAAGACACCAGCGAGGATGTGCCTTTTTTTGCCCAATTGCTGTTAATGACGGGTTCAAGGTTGTGCCTTACTCTCTTCTTGAGAGAACAATTCCTGGAAGGCTTTTGATATGGCAAGCAGATCATCCTATGCTGGACGTTACCTTTCGAACGAGGCTTTTCGTGGCTGGGAAACTGTTCAAAGCTGCGGCTTTTGGTGTGTCTAGAACTATATTGCACAAGTCAGTATCATTCTTATGCCTCTTTTTACATGGAGCGCTATGGGTTTGTATCCAAATGAGGCGCAAATTTGAATTATGGATGAGATGGGATGCACGGGTTTAGTCGCCTAAGTGCAGAGAAGGCGAAGTACCAATGTACATATTCCAAGTAAGGAATGACATCTAACGAAAGAATCGAGACTTTAATGCACTATTATGAGTACAAATTCCTAACTCCTATGTATTGCATCTAGTGAAAAGCTGTGTTCTAGATTCACTAACCACACCTGCTCTCTATTTTGAGCTCTGTACACGTCGATGGCATGTCACAATCTTTTCGAGCAGTATGTCTGTAATCCACAGATAATCACGTACTGAATCGGATTGTTGGTCAAGCATTCGTGCATCTTCAGGGCGCCTATGCTACGGTTTGAGACTACCGACATCATTTATCTGTGCAATCCACATCGTCAAGCATTGCTTTGCTCTACAACTGCATAAAATTCAATGTTAAGACAAAGATATAACTATTCTAAGTATTTAAATAATAGAACCTGTTCTGTAATCGCTACCAATTTTCACCAGCATTCAATCAGTATTGCACCAAAAATATTAAAACCAACTACTTTGACACTTTAATTATTAGTCATCATATCGTTGTCGGAATGGCTGAGGACAGTTACCGGCAAGGGAACTTGCCCATGGGGACACAGCTCATCTCATTCGACTTCGCTTCCCACACGATGGAACACCTTGGTTATCTGTGTGTAGATGACAAAACGCCCACAGATGAAGAGATGGCAGAAGTGAACAAGGTCTTTGAAGAGAACAAGAAGTTTTCCGCGCCGGTGTTTGATTACTGTGAAGGAGGAAATGAGTGCAAAGCATTTCTGATGTCAGATCGCAAGGTACGTCTCCACAGACCTGATTAGCCGGTTGTACTAAGGATGATAGTAGTTGCAAGAT